GCCTCGGAAACCCAAGGAGGGGTCGCTATGAGTCGGGGCTGACTCGACGGCACATAACAACAACAACAACAACAAAGCACTAAAGCCGTGATGTAAATGCTAAGGCATTTGCAAAATGGCTACGTACTTAAAAACGGTTACATACAGGGTGGTTATATAGAAACATGGTCTCACAAAGGCTGGTTGGTTCAAAACAACTAGCCACTCCTCGGAAGGAAGATGGGGCAATCTACTTCCGTAGTGATACTGCCTTGGAAACCCAAGGAGGGGTCGCTATGACTCGGGTCTGACTCGATGGCACATAACAACAATGACAACATAGGATTAGTATATAATCAGTGGACATCTTCCTCTTTTGGCTATCCATAAATAATTTAAACACCAAGCTGTAATTTTGTGAGACCACACGTTTGTACTAATGCCCTCCAGGTAATTATTCTTTAACTAGGAGCCATTAGCGCCAGGAACTCCAGCACGTTCCCCACACCTCAGGGCTTTACCTCACAGAGTCCTAAACCCCCCTCCCCTCCTTTACTCCCCTGAGCAACAACCAGTGAATAATAGAGAAGAACCTGAAGTCCTGATTACCCTCACCCCCTAGATACCCCCTAGCAACAACCAATCAGTAAATATCAGGAAAATACTTGAAATTCCTATACCTAAAATAGTTAGAAATGGCAGGTGTGGCCTCGGCCCACAGGACAGGGCCAATCAAGTAGGGACAACATGCAATTCGAAAAATGACAACCAATCCTATAATTTTCTGATTGAAACTTCCCCGTTCCTGCTCCATCCCCAATAAAAGACCCCCTTCCCCTTTGTTTGGGGCTCTCAATCCTGAACCACTGTGTCGGTGACAGTTGGGGGTCTGAGCTCGAGCTTGAATAAACAACCCCTATGAGCTCTGGTAGCATAGTGGCTAAGACACTTGCCTGTTAACCAGACAGCTGGTGGTTCAAACCCACCAGCCACTCCTCAGAAGGAAGGTTGGGCAATCCTACTTCCGTAGTGATACTGCGTGGGAAACCCAAGGAGGGGTCGCTATGAGTCAGGTTTGTCTCGACGGCACATAACAACAACAACATGCTTTTGCAGTGGAATCGGCTCCTTGGTGGTTTTTGGGGATTCAAGATCTGGGCACAACATTCGGGGGCTCGTCCGGGATCCCCCAGACACCCCAGGACTCCCGACCCAAGGGGTTGCGGCCAGCTGGTAAGTGTGTTTAACTGTTTGATATTTGTTCAAGTCTTTCGTGTAATACCTGGGCCCGTTTTCTGTAGAGCTGACTTTGGCCTAAGTGGACGCATGGGCGGGCCGTCAGCCAGAGGATCTGGGAGACGTCCCAGGACCTCTTCGGGAAGGGAAGAAGTGGAAGCCCTCCAATCTGGAATTCTGAATTAGTATAGGGATGAAGCAGGTTGCTCCCGCAGCACGGCGTGAGGCCGTCGTCCCACTTTCGGTTTTGCTTCCAATTTGTGGGAGGCATTCTTTGTTCGTCCTTTTGTGTGTCTATTCGTTGTCTGTTAGTGTTTGTGATTTGGTGGATGGACGAAATGGGACACACTATGATGACTCCTCTTTCTCTTTTGACTGGTAACTTTAAAGAAGTTAGGCAAAGGGCACATAATTTAAGTTTGGAAATAAAGAGACAAAAACTTGTGACCCTGTGTACTTCAGAGTGGCCTACGTTCATTGTAGGGTGGTCGGCCAAGGGCACATTTGATCTCCAAATTATTTTAAGGGTAAAAGAAGTTGTATTCCGATCCAGCTGGGGACACCCAGACCAGGGATCATATATAATCATATGGCAGGATTTAGTAGAAAATCCGCCCCTCTGGTTAAGGCCACTATTACCTCTTTCTCTTCTTAAGCAGCCACCTAAGACTATCCTGGCAGCACAAACTTATACTGCCTGGAAGAAGGAACCTGAAATTAAACCTTCAGCGCCGACCCACCCAGTATTCCAGGGAGGGACAGAGGAAGAGCTCCTCCCCCCCCTTATCAAACCCCTTCAGCAGGTATTGCAGCTGCAGAGGGTGCGTTGCCCCAAGCTCCTTACGATAGTGGGACAATGGTGGCAGCAGCAGGCCCGGCAGCCGGCACCCATGGAAGAATGCAGCGCGCAGCACCCTCCTGTGGACCAGCAGATTCCACAGTTTTGCTGTTGAGAGCTGCAAGGCCCGCAGATGCAACCGGCAATCAACAACTCCACTATTGGCCCTTTGCCACTAGTGACCTGTATAATTGGAAAACTCAGAATGCCAAATTTTCAGATAACCCCAGAGATTTAACCGATCTCCTAGAAACTATTTTGTTTACTCACCAGCCCACCTGGGACGATTGCCAACAACTCCTTCAAATCTTGTTCACCACTGAAGTACGTGAGAGGATCCAGATAAAGGCCCAGAAAACTGTTTTGGGGGATAACGGGCAACCCACTACTAACATAGATGTGATTAATGCCACCTTCCCTTTGACTCGTCCTAACTGGGACTTCAACACGACTGAAGGTAAGGAGAGACTCCGGGTGTACCGTCAGACTCTAATGGGAGGTCTCAGGGCAGCCGTAAGGAAGCCCACTAATTTGGCTAAGGTAGGTGACATACAGCAAGGGAGGGACGAAAGTTCTGCCACTTTTTTAGAAAGATTAATGGCAGCATTTCGTCAATATACCCCCATGGATCGAGAAATGCCTGAAACTAAGGCTGCACTAATCATGGCTTTTGTGAATCAAGCAGCCTCAGATATTAGGAGGAAATTACAAAAAACTGACAGACTAAATGAAAAAAGTATTCAGGATTTAATGTTAGTTGCAGAAAGGGTTTATAATCACAGGGAAAGTCCAGAGGACCGACAAGCCAAAGCACTAGCGGCAGCCAGTGACCGGAACACTCAGAACCTTGCAAAAATCCTACTTGCCTCAACAGCTGGGAGTGTCTGAGAAAGAGAACAACAACTGCAAAAAATCGCAAAATACTGAGGTAAGGGGAACCCCCCCCCCCCAATGGGAGGATGCCCCAAGCTGGGCAAGAATCAATGTGCCCATTGCAAGGAAGAAGGACACTGGGCAAAAGAATGCCCAAATAAAAGAACTCATAAACCACAGACTAAAGTACTAGAATTGGGGGAACTCAGTCATTAGGGGTGATAGGGTTCGGTTCCCCTCCCTGAACCCAGGGTAACCCTTAAAGTGGAGGGGACACCAATTGATTTCCTAGTGGACACCAGAGCACAGCATTCAGTCTTACTCAAACCCGAAGGGAAACTACCTAACAAAACTTCCTGGGTTCTGGGTGCTACAGGAACAAATCAATATTCATGGACTATCCGAAGAACAGTGGATCTCGGTGTGGGTCGAGTATCCCACTCGTTCATGGTAATTCCAGAATGCCCCTATCCACTCCTTGGGAGAGATATATTAACCAAAATAGGAGCACAAATCCACTTTCAAAAAGGAGGGGCAACCGTTATGGACAGTAGGAGCCAACCTATTCAAGTGTTGACTGTAAACCTAGAAGATGAGAATAGACTCCACCAACAACCCCCTCCTCCCCCATTTGAAGAGATAAAACAGTGGTTATCAGCTTTTCCCAAGGCGTGGGCTGAAACTGGAGGTGTTGGGTTAGTTAAACATAAGCCACCAGTTTATGTGGAAATTAAACCTGGAGTGGACCCAGTCAGAGTCCGTCAGTACCCTATGTCACGGGAAGCCTGAGAAGGCATAACTGCCCACATCTGGTGTCTGTTAAAACTAGGGATACTCTGACCCTGCCGGTCTGCTTGGAACATTCCTCTGCTCCCTGTTTGGAAACCTCATTCCAATGATTATAGACTGGTGCAAGACCTCTGAGAGGTCAATAAATGGGTCATGGACATTCATCCTACTGTTCCTAACCCATACACCCTCCTAAGTTCTTTACCCCTGAATCGCCAGTGGTACTCAGTCTTAGACCTTAAAGACGCCTTTTTCAGCCTACCACTGGTCCCAAAGAGCCAGGACCTGTTTGCATTCGAATGGACTAACCCGACAGAGGGCATCAGTGGGCAACTAACCTGGACACGGCTCCCCTAGGGGTTCAAGAGCTCGCCTACAATCTTCAACGAGGCACTACATGAAGACCTGGGTAAGTTCCGATTCGACCACCCTGGTCTCACGTTGTTACAATATGTAGATGATCTCCTAATTGCTGCAGCAGACTACGAGACCTGTCTCCAAGAAACCAGAGACTTACTCCAGACATTAGGAGACATGGGTTACAGAGCCTCAGCTAAAAAGGCTCAGCTTTGCCAACCTGAGGTGAGCTATTTGGAGTATATGTTAAAAGAGGGACAAAGATGGCTGACTAGGGCCTGTAAAGAGACTGTACTAAAAATCCCTAGACCCAACACCCCACTCAGGGTGCGGGAGTTCCTAGGATCATCCGGTTATTGTAGACTCTGGATATCAGGTTTTGCAGAATTAGCAAAACCTCTCTATGGAGCGACCAAAGAGGGGCAGAAGTTTCAGTGGACAGAGGCCATGGAAAGATCCTTTAATTCACTTAAAAACGCCCTTTTGTCCGCTCCTGCCCTTGGACTGCCTGATGTGACAAAACCCTTCCATCTATACATCGATGAAAATAAGGGGATAGCAAAGGGAGTTGTAATCCAACACCTAGGCCCCTGGAAAAGACCAGTAGCCTATCTCTCAAAGAAATTAGACCCAGTGGTGGTGGGGTGGTCCCTGTTCCTACACATAATAGCGGCAACGGCATTACTAGTCAAAGATGTGGGCAAACATATACTGGGACAAGAACTGTATGTTACTACCCCGCATGCCATAGAGGAACTCTTAAACAACCTCCTGATCGATGGCTTAGTAATTCATGACTTACCCACTATCAAGGACTGTTATTGAACCCGACTAAGATTATCTTCCAGTCACCTACAGCACTGAACCCTGCCACCCTGTTACTGGATCCGGACTTGGGAGCTCCACTGCATGATTGCATCGATATTCTGGCTCAAGTACATGGAACCCGAGCTGACCTACAAGACACACCCTTGCCGGATGCCGAGGTCACCTGGTATATGGATGGGAGCAGCTTTGTACGTGATAGACAAAGGTATGCAGGGGCGGCAGTGGTGACAGAAACCACAATAGTTTGGGCTGAGCCATTACCAGCCAGAACATCAGCCCAACGAGCCGAACTAATAGCATTGACCAAAGCCCTAACTTTAGGAAAAGACAGAAAATTGAATGTATATACAGACAGTCGTTACGCTTTTGCCACGGCACATATTCATGGGGCAATTTATCGGGAAATGGTGCTATTGACCGCAGAAGGGAAGACAATTAAAAATAAAAACGAAATCCTAAATCTACTAGCTGCCCTATGGCTCCCCAAGAAACTTGCCATCATTCATTGTCCGGGACACCAGAAGACCACTTCCTCTGTTGCCCGAGGCAATAACTTAGCAGACCAAATTGCCTGATAAATTGCACAGTCTACCAACCTGGTATTAACCTCCAACCTACCAGATCCTGGGAGCCCTACCTTACCAATGAACCCTAACTATGCTGAAGAAGAGTTGTAATGGATTAAACAGCTACCCAGAGCCCAGTACGTATGCAACTGGTGGCAGATCACAAAGCTATCCTCCCTGAAAAACTGGGAGAAGAAATCTTATTCAAAATACATCAGGCCACCCATTTAGGAACTAAAAAGATGCAGGAATTACTAAAACGGGCCAACGTAATAATTAGAAATGCACAATCTAAAATTGAAGCAATTGTTTCTAACTGTAAAGCTTGTCAATTAACCAATGTTACTAAAAACCCTCAGAATCTAGGCTCCAGATCAAGGGGCAACACACCAGGAGCCTGCTGGGAAGTGAACTACATGGAGGTAAAACCTGGGAAATACGGATATAAATATCTATTAGTCTTTATAGATACCTTTTCAGGGTGGGTAGAAGCCTTCCCCACCAAGAAAGAAACAGCCCACGTCGTAGCCAAGAAACTACTAGAAGACATCCTACCCAGGTATGGCTTTCCTACTACAATAGGGTCAGATAATGGACCAGCATTTGTGTCTAAGGTAATACAGGGTTTGCCAACTATTCTTGGGGCTAATTGGAAATTACATTGTGCTTACAGACTCCAAAGTTCAGGCCAGGTAGAAAGAATGAACAGAACTCTAAAAGAGACCTTAACCAAATTAACCATAGAGACTGGCAGGGACTGGGTGACTCTCCTCCCCTTCGCCCTATTTCAGGTTTGTAACTCTCCTTATAAATTGGGTTTGACACCCTTTGAGATTGTCTTTGGTAGACCTCCACCCATTACTCCCAGATTCCAGTCCAATCTGTTATGTGAAATTGATAATTATGAACTCATTTATTCTCTTCAAGCCCTGCAACGAACCCAACAGGACATCTGGCCAAACTTAAGGGTCCTCTACCAATCTAATCCCCCTCTCGAACCTCACCAGTACCAGCCAGGTGATTGGGTGTATGTGCAAAGACATTGACAAGAAACTCTACAACCTCGCTGGAAAGGACCTTACGTCATGACCCTGGCAACACCCACCGCCCTCAAAGTTGATGGAATAACCCCCTGGATTCATCATACCCATGCCCATAAAGCCAACCTTGGCCAGAACCCACCATGGCATGTCTCCAAGGACCCCAATAATCTGCTCAAACTAAAACTCCAGCGATGTGGACCTTACTAATAATACTGATAATAACTAGTAACTATGCAAATCCCTCATCTAACCCACATGCACCCCAACAGTTAACCTGGGTAATTACATCGGACACGGGGGATGTTGTCAACTCCACAACAGGCTACCATCCCCCTAATACCTGGTGGCCCGACCTACACTTTGACTTATGCCAATTGGCGGCTGGATCCTGGGACATCGTGGACTGGGAAACCAACAAGAACGGTACTCCCAAATGCTCAGGTAAACCTGACTGTAAACATCCCTGCACCCCCTCAGGGCTCGGTAATTCTGGAATAGGTTGTGGACAGCTGGAACTCTGTCACAAACTTCGTAAAATACCATTTTATGTTTGTCCAGGAGGAGGAAGAGAGAACTTTAGCAAACCAGTGTGGAGGGACCTCAGACTTTTACTGCAGGGTGTGGGGGTGTGAAACTACTGGAACTACTTATTGGAAACCTTCCTCAACTTGGGACCTTATTACAGTAGAAAGAGTAAATCCTTTAAACTTTAATTATTTTAGTTTTTGCAGATGGACTTATGCCACAGGAGACAAGTATACCAGAGCTGGCCCATGTATGAATTTTACCTGTAATCCTATTAAGATTCGATTTACAGAGCAAGGAAAACAGTATAAAACCTGGGTAACAGGCCGATCCTAGAGGCTTCCATTGTACCAAACAGGGTATGACAATGGAATCATTTTTAATATCAGACTGAAAATTGAGTCCTGGACACCCCCCACAGCAATCGGGCCTAACACAGTGTTAACCCCACAAATAACACCCATCCTACATTCCAATAGTCGGGGCAACACATTAATTCGAAATTCCTCCTCTCACAATGTGTTGACCCCTTCAAGGAACAACACGTCAATCCAAACTTCTCGCCATGTCACCCCTTCAAGGGGCATCACCTCAGTTCAGAATTTACAGGAGGACCCCCTTTGGAATATTATGGACCAAACCTTCCAGCTACTAAATCTAACCCAATCTAATTTAACAGAATCTTGTTGGCTGTGCTATGATATCAACCCCCCCTATTAGGAAGGTATTGCATTTATAGGGAAATTCAGCCAGTCAGAAACTCACAAAACCTGTAGATGGAATCATAAAAAACCTGGACAACTAACTTACTTTCTGTCACAAGGACAGGGACCTGCATAGGACAGATTCCACAAACTCGCAGACACCACTGAAACAACTATAAATCAAACTGTGTACTATGTACCACCCCCCAACGGATGGTGGGCTTGCTCCTCAGGATTATCCCCTTGCCTCCATGGGCAAGTTCTTAAGCAGACCAAAGATTTTTGTGTATTAGTCTATTTAGTACCTCATATATTATACCACCAGTATGACAAATTTCTAGATAAATGGGAGACTGTTCCTCACCGAGTCAAACGGGAACCAGTCTTTGCTGTAACTTTAACTGTTCTATTAGGATTAGGACTAGCGGGAGCTGGAACAGAAATTACATCTATCATAAACCAGCATCAACAATATAATTCACTCAGAGCAGCAATTGACCAGGATATAGAAAGACCCGAAGAATCCATTACCAAACTCCAAGAATCCCTAACCTCTTTAGCAAAACTAAGTTTACAACTAAAAAGAGGTATGGATATCCTCTTCCAACAACAAGGGGGAGTTTGTGCTGCCCTAGGAGAGGAATGTTGTTATTATATAGACCACTCAGGAGTCATAAGAAACTCCATGGCTAAAGTAAGAGAAGGACTAGAAAAAAGAAAAAGAGAACATAACCAAAGACAGGGATGGTATGAGGGCTGGTTTAAATCTTCTCCCTGGCTAATGTCTCTATTATCTGCTATCAGTGGACCAGTCATTATAGGACTAATTTTACTCACGGTTGGTCCTTATATTCTAAATAAGCTAGTCAACTTTATAAGAGAGAGAGTGAACTCTGTACAATTCATGGTCCTCAGTCAACAGTACCAACTAATCCATCAAGACGATTCAGGCATTGATACAGTGCACTATAACCCAGTATATGGTAATAGACAACAAACTCATGGTTGAGTTTAGTGCCAAGAGAAAGGGAGGAATGTGAGACATTTGTACTAATGCCCTCCACATAATTATTCTTTAACTAGAAGTCATTAGTGCCAGGAACTCCAGCACGTTCCCCACGCCTCAGGGCTTTACCTCACAGAGTCCTAAACCCCCCTCCCCTCCTTTACTCCCCCGAGCAACAACCAATCAGTGAATAATAGAGAAGAACCTGAAGTCCTGATTACCCTCATCCCCTAGATACCCCCTAGCAACAACCAATAGTAAATATCAGGAAAACACTTGAAATTCCTATACCTAAAATAGTTAGAAACGGCAGTTGCAGCCTCGGCCCACAGGACAGGGCCAATCAAGTAGGGACAACGTGCAATTCAAAAAATGACAACCAATCCTATAATTTTCTAATTGAAACTTCCCCGTCCCTGCTCCATCCCCAATAAAAGACCCCCTTCCCCTTTGTTCGGGGCTCTCAATCCTGAACCACTGTGTTGGTGACAGTTGGGGGTCCGAGCTCGAGCTTGAATAAAAAACCCCTATGCTTTTGTAGTGGAATCGGCTCCTTGGTGGTTTTTGGGATTCAAGATCTGGGCACAAGAATTTAACCATGATACCTGTAACCAAATCTCTTTTAAAATGAAAACATGCTCTCAGCAATCTAGCTGATGAATGATGATATCTTGGACATTGGTAGTGAACATATAGTTAGAGAAAAGTGGGCAGATCAAAGGATAGGAAGTCAAGAAACTGTATGAAAAAAATTCATTGGCAAAAGGCAACATGTAAGTTATACATATGAAGTACCAGAAAATGAACTACAAACAATTTTTTCATGACAGAATTATTTTAGATCCTTCTATTATCAAGTTAATACCTTTTAAATGAATAAAAAGCCTTGAACCCGGACAGAAGAGCAGTCAGCCGCAGGGTTACAGGTGAGGAGAGACAACTCAGGGATGCCCAGAGTAGCAGGCCAGAAGAGCAGGAGAAAGGGGATAAAACCCAGGAAGCCAAAGAGAAGGGCAATCAGTCGAAGGGAT